CGCGTAAAAAGACAGTATAAGTCATTATAATCAGTAATTATGTCCCCACTGGATGCAACAAATGCCTTGTTTATAATGGGTTTTACTCATTTTGTCTCATCGCGCCGGGAGACGGCATCACAGTATGGTAGGGGCGTAACATTTCCGTCACACGCTTGAGGTATTCGGCCAATCACAACGCACTGGATAGCTGGCCAATCACAGCACACCTCGCTTTTCAGAACGAGCTTTGTAAAAATCGACGCGTTTCAGAAAGGCAGAGGAGTAGAGGAGCAACAATAATGTATATTATGTGGAAAATAATGTTTTTTGAACCTTAAACCACATAAACACATTGCATTACACCAAATACACAACATAATGTTCTTTTTAGCAACGTCGTATGACCCCTTTAAGTCGCTGGGGTATATTTATAGCAATATCCAAAAATACATTGTATGGGTCAAAATAATTGATTTTTCTTTTATGCTAAAAAATCATTAGGATGTTAAGTAAAGATCATGTTCCATGAAGATATTTTTCCTACTGCCTACTGTAAATATATTAAAACTTAATTTTTGATTAGTAATATGCATGGCTAAGAACTTCCAACTTTAAAATATGCATGGCTAAGAACTTCATTTGGACAACTTTAAAGGCGATTCCAGATTTTCAAATAGTTGTATCTCGGCCAAATATTGTCCTATCCTAACAAACCATACATCAATGGAAAGCGTATTTATTCAGCTTTCAGATGATATATAAATATCAATTTCGAAAAATTGACCCTTATGACTGGTTTTGTGGTCCAGGGTCACATTTGGTCATAAAGCCAGATGAGGTCTGAGAGGAAGCCCAGGTGTCAGATATATAACTCAGACTAGAGCTAAATCTTATTACAGACATATTTTAGACCATGTATCATAGTATTGGAGTAATGCCTTTGACCACAAAGTATTTAGTTCTCCTGTGTTGAATTCTCTCTTTTTATTTTCCCCTCCACACATTCTCTATTCAGCTCAGCTTTGCAGCTTTGATCACAACAGCTGGACATTTTTCAACTTGGCTCACGCAGTGTTTGTGTGTGTGTGTGTGTGCATTCCTCCTTTGAATGGCAAGTTTGTTAAGTCCGTAAAACTGAAGTTGTCCTTTGTCTCACTGGCATGCGGGAGATTTAATCCTGAAAGACCTGGTCTGAGCAGACATGCACACAAACACGCTTACACACACTTTTATCATCCTTCTCTTTCATTTGCCAGCCAAATTCCAAACTCTGTAAGATGCTAATATGACGTGAAAATATTGATAAGGATTATGCAGTACTTTCTGGATGACTGCATTGTGAAACAGACTGATGCACAAACATATACGCCTGTCTGTTTTACACTCTGTTTTTAAGTTATGACCTCATTCATTTGGAGACTATATTACATTTACATTTACATTTAGTCATTTAGCAGATGCTTTTATCCAAAGCGACTTACAAATGAGGACAATAGAAGCAATCAAAACCAACAAAAGGACAATAATATGTAAGTGCTGTAAAGTGCTGTGAAGTCTCGGTTAGCCTAACGCAGTACATGTAGCAAGGGTTTTTTATAATAAATAAAAAGGAAAAACAAGTAGGTAGAATAGAAAACGAATAGGGAACGCTAGTGTTAGAGGGTCTTTTTTTTAAATAAAAATAAAACAAGTAAAAAGAATAGAAAATGCTAGTGTTAGAGGGTCATTTTTTTATAATAAATACAAAGAAAACAAGAAGAATATTAATATTATATATTATATTAATTTTGATTTTTGATAATGTTTTTTGTTAATATTCTGAATTATAGTTTATATTTTAGTTAACATTTTTGTTATTTTGTTGTGTATTTTGGTATTTTTATTAGTTTTTAATATGTCTATATAGTTTTTATTATTATGTTATTATTTTATTTATTATTCAATAAATAGTTTAG